CCAGGGGTGGGGACTCCACCACTGCCCTGGGCAGCCTGGCACAGCCCTGGGCAACCCTCCAGGGCAAGGAATTGTTCCTCAGGGACAACCTCAACCTCCCCTGACACAGCCTGAGGCCGTTGCCTCCTGTTCCTTGAGAGATCGACCCCCCCCTGGCTCCAGGCTCCTGTCAGGAGCTGTGCAGAGCCAGAAGGTCTCCCCTGAGCCTCCTTTGCTCCAGGCTCAGCACCCCCAGCTCCCTCAGCTGCTCCTCCCCACACTTGGGCTCTAGACCCTTCCCCAGCTTTGTTGCCCTTCTCTGGCCACGCTCCAGCCCCTCAAGTTCTTTGTTCCCCTGTGGCACCTACAACTGAGCCCAGTGCTCAATCTGTGGCCTCCCTACTGCCCAGTCCAGGGGCACAATCCCTTCTCCTGCTGGCCACACCAGTGCTGCTCCAGGCCAGGATGCTGGTGGCCGCCCAAGCCCCCTCGGGCCCCCCAGGTCCTTTCCCACCAGTCACTTTCCAGCCCCTCTCCCCCAGCCTGGAGCACTGCAGGGGGTTGCTGTGACCCCAGGGCAGGAGCCAGCCCTTGGCCTTGTCACTGCTGCCACCTCCTCCAGCTCCAGCCAGGCTCAGCCTGTGTCACCATCCCCCCCTCCCCGGGTGAGGGAACCCCCAGCCCTGCCAGGATCTGCCTCGGCACCTGAAGACAGGAGACAGAGCTTTGAAAAAAAAACTTCTTTTATTGGAACTCATCTGAACATCAGATATACCTGGTGTTGGTTAGCAAGAACCGTTTGTACATTTGATATTGATGGTGCCAAAAAACCCAAACAGTGACTGACTGGATGAGATGGAAATTTAAAAGAAAAAAAAATAAAAGAATCAAACGTCGGAGAGGTTAAAATGGGAACAGAAAGCAGAGATCAGCCAGTCCAAGATTCAGTGGGAAGGCAAAAGTATTTCCTGATAAAACAGAACCCTTTTACAAAATATAAATTCTGTAAGAAAAAGGTGGCGAGGGAGAGAGGAAGGGACAGAAGGGAAAGGAAAAAAAGATGAAGATCAGCAGGACAGAGATGCAGAAGCTTACACTGCCCAAATGGCATCAGAACCTAGCTAGTGACCTCACCAGAAATGAAACATGCTGGAACAGCCCCTGCTCCACCCCCGGCAGTGCTCCCAGGGAGCTCCCCAGTGATCCCCACGGGCTGAGCTGTCCCAGCCTTTGGGATCAGGGGGGACCCTGGGGACAAATCCCCTGGACAGGGGCAGCAGGGCCCAGGCTCGGGGCACCCCTGCTCACCTGCTCTTCCTACCACTGCAGTGGGGAGGAGGGAGAGAACACTGACAATCTAGGCTATTTGAAAAGGAGAGCATGCACTGCAGGCCTCGGGGGAGCCTGCACTGTTCCCTGGACAGACACTGGCCTGGGGGGCTCAGCAGCATGGGCTGTGCGGGCTGGGGCTGGGCTGGCAGCACACTGACTGTCCTGGAGCAGGGAGAGCACTGTGGGGCTGCTGTCCAGGGCTCTGAGGCCTTTCAGATTTATAAAAACCAGCAGTCTGTGGATTTGGGTGGGCCTTTTTTCTTTTTTGGTTCAGGACAAATGGAACAAACTCAGCTGCTTAGACACTGTCAGTAAGTCTCAGCTTTCAGAGCAGAGGGACAGATGAAGCAAACTTGTTTTGGGCACCTACTGGTAACAAAACTTTGTCCCTGCTTAACTCTCTGCCATCCCTCAGGAAGTGGAAAGCACATGTTTAGGTAGTGTAAGCCTTTTTCCTTTTATTTAGAATACCCTCTTTGTTTAAACAATATTTCCCCCCCCCAGATACAAAGTTCGGCCAGTAAAGGTTACATGGGAACTGGAACACGCATCGTATGGAGTACAGGATGCACTGATGAGGAAGTTTAAAAACTTTCCGAGCGAAAAGTAGAACAAAGAGAGAAAAAAAAAAAAAAAAAAAAGAGTCTCCTAACATTTTCCCAAAGGTTTCACTCTCCTGTCACACACACTCTCCAAATGACAGCTAGCAAATTCAGCTCTGCGAAAAGAAAACAGAGCCCCGTCAATGGGGGGGAGGGAGAAGGAGCCTCAGGGACACGAACCACACCGTG